TAATAGTACCTTCAGTGAAAGTACTGCAGATGGTACCTCGAGTGAAAGTATCTTTAGTGAAGAGGTCAAGAGGAAGGCCAAAGAGGAAATATATGGATGTGCTAAAAGAGGACATGAAGTTAACTGGGGTGAGAGTAGAGGATGCTGAGAATAGAGTTAGGTGGAAACAGATGATTCGCTGTGGCGACCCCTAACAGGAACAGCCGAAAGAAGAAGAAGATGTATTGTTAGGGTGATTTTTAAGTAGATATGAATAGAATTAAGGTTTTTATTTTATAGCATACATAAGTCTATATACTTTAATCTCACAGTTATATTTACGTGTTACATATCACCCTATGTGTTCACTAAATCACTGGTCAATATTTATAGTGTTAGCCAACTGGAGCACTGTTTAACATCAAAGGGACTGGTCCACTCAAACAGTGAATCTCATTAGATTTACAGCTTTAGCAAAGAGGGTCCACAGTAAATTTATTATCACCACCTGGCTGATGAGGCCAGGGAATTAGGGTTCACTGGGACACTATGGTTAGTAAACAGAGATTAGATCTGAAGCCAGGAAGAGGAGAAAATTTCAAAGGTAGAACCATTACACATACACAGGCAGAGCAGTTTTAATTGGAACCGGAAAGCAATGTCTAATATGGAGCAGTTAGTTAGAAACAAAGGAAGAAGTGAGTGTTTATGTAGAAATTAAGACAGTATAGGTATTTCTCCCCTTTTTAGGGCGCTGTTCACGACCATTGGAGCAGAGAGGACGATTGGAGGACGGACGGACGGACTGAAGGACCAATCACGGGAGAGTTAAGTCTAAACCACGGCTTCTCCCCAACAGTTTTTGACCAATTAGATAGTAGTACCTTTTCATACAAATATACTGACAAGTTGAGGACGGTCTTTTCTGTTTATCCTAAACAGTGAAGATCCATGTGCACATGCTTATTTTGATACAATAATGCATAATAAATTTCACACTGGGAAATATCCGTTTACTAGACTTCTCTTTTCAAAATAAAAGAATTCACCTCACAGTACACATGAGACTTATCAAATAACATTGGAGGTAGGGGTCAAGAACCAGTCAAGTACAAATTTACAACGCAAATAATACTGTGTAATGTTAGAAAAACCCAGTTCTTTTGTTGAAAGTGCAAGAAGAGAAGACAGAAGAGGACTGTATAAAATCAACAGAAAATTTAATCAGTCTGGTCACATGGTAAAGCTATACAGTGCTGGGCTCTGAGAGACAGAACTTCTGCAGGAAAACTGTTCTCAAAAGCCCCGAGCCATTGGTTCTGGTTACATTTATCTTCTTGGGTGGAGACCACCCCTAACAGGAGTTGCCCGTCCCCTATTTCTATGGGCTCTTGGCATGAGCGGGCCAGCCTCTGCCCACGCCCACTTGCTGACCATGTGCTAGAAGCCAGTTGTGAGTGTTGTGATTTTCAGGCGGTAGCTAACAATGAGTACTGAACAATTGGTTGTCTGCAGTGCAGACCCCCTAACTGTGTAGGCTAATACAGGACAAAGCAGACCTAGTGAATATGCAAAACGGGCCAAGTGATCGTCACACGTTGTAAGCCCCCTGCCTCAGTAAATATTACATTGCAAAGCAGAACCTGTAAAATGCAGAGCAGGCCTGTGTGAAGATGTAAATCGGGCCATCTCTTTACAATGAAGATGCAGACATTATGTCTCCACAGTTACATCATGCAGTTTCAACTCAGTAGAATTTGGCAGTCATCAATACAGTTTTAATATACAACATATAAGCAAGAAAAATAAAGATATGAAAAGTAACTAAAGCTTATAAAGTAACTGAAGCCTATAAGAATCAAATCTTACACTAAGCTTGTGCTTTTTGGTTGTGTAAACATCAACTTTGTGTTCCATATCACTATGGATCAATCTGGACCTAACTGGAACTTGGAATTAATCTACTCTTCAGCGTATGAGTCCATTTTCATTTTTTAAAAATCTATTATGTGTTAAGTTATGTGATTTATCAATAGTTGGCACTCTACACATCAAAGTTTATTTCCTGGTGTTGGGAACTACTACTACTACTACTACTACTACTACTACAGTACATACAGTATGTAAAAAAGTTGCATTTAGCCTTTAATATGTCTTGAGTAAAGTCTGATAAATGTCCTCTGGTGATGTCACTTGCACTTGTTGGTTGCATCTGAAGATGATACTAGGTTGTGATGAGGAAGAAGAATGTGTTGAACAAAACTGATAACATATCTCCTTCTGGTGTGTCGAGTTTTTTTGTTTGTTTGTTTTTTTTAAACTGTGCATCAGGATTCTGACAAGGCTGCAGAGGTGAAATGCTAAGTTGGTATGGTACTCTCTTAAGTAGTGGCAAAACATATAACTCCCCGAGTTTACCTGACAACAAGCTCCAATTTAAAATATTCTAATGCCTTTTTATTAAACTATAACAGGGGCAGTTAGTCAGGATACCAGTCCTCACTGCAATAACCTGTAAATATACCATTGTATATATTTATTGGAATCTCTTCTGTCAAAATGTATAGGCATATATATTTATAAATAGTTTGTCTCCTTTCTTTCCTTATATAAATGCACATTCTTGTGCTCTTGTTTTATGGAAGCACATTGAGAGCATGTTATAGCACATATTATGATTTTTAGCATGTAAATACACAATTTGTTTGCAAAAACTAAGATAATGCTTACTTATTTCTTACATGTAATCCTGTTTTTGCTAAATATCTGGGTGCAGCATCAGAGAAGATCCTTTAAGGCCTGACACAGTCCTCCCAATTGCACCTTTACTAGTCATCATTATGACAATGAATGGTGTTTAAATAGTAACTGTGCAGTACTAGGTAATTATCTTTGCTGTCCAGTTTCAGTAAAGTCCAGGTTGATCCCAGACAGCAGTTCTCCTCCACATGAACGGTTTAGCAGCTCTTTCAAGGCTTCATTCACATCGCTGTTGAAGATGGTAGAGAAGTTGCTGTTGGAGTACCCTCCAACACCTCCATCCATGGGAAATGAGTCCATCACCTCCTGCACCCATTTCAGCTCATTGCTCAGCTCCAGGCGCAGTACATCAAAGTAGTTCTGTCTCTCCTGGTAGCGGCTGCTGACAGCGCCGAGGCTGGAGCTGAAAGCCTGCATGTCGTCCTGCAGACTCCTCTTCAAAGCCTCCACTTTACGGAACTCGTAGCGGATTTGTGAAAGTTCATTGCGTATGCCTTCACTCTGCTCCTTGTACCAGGCCTCCTTTTCATTGTATATGGAGACCATGACATCAATATCTTCCTGCAGAGAGTCATGGGCTGCTGCCAGGCTAATGAACGAGCTCTCCATCTGATCTATGTCCTCGACCACCTGGGCAAAGCGCTCAAAGTTTACATAGGTGTTGTTGGGTGGCATGCTTGAGTGGGATTTGATAGTGTATTCCCTCAAGCGCTTGGTCTTCAGTTGGCGTTGCTCCCATTTTTTTAGCTCCTTGGCTTTATTTTCCTCCTTGTGCTTATGGGACAAAACAAAGAATAGTTAGTTACTGTCAACCATAGAGGGAAAAGCTAAAAGGCATGCTTTGGTTAAAGGTGGACTATAAACATCCAATAGCCTTTCCATATTGTGCTAAATACAAGTTTGTGCACAATAAGGCTGTAGAGAAATTACAAATAATGATGGATGCAGTGAAAATATCAGTGGTTTCAGACATCAAAAATGAGTTGACTGACAACTTGTATTGGCAGAAAGTGAAGAGAACTCGACTATGAAAGACTGTATCACACTGAAGAACTCATGCTGTTACAGTATATACCAGAAGACGTTTTGCTGATTTGGGTGTACAAGCTTAAGCTTTCTTTCTGTGTGCTGGATGTGTAAAATGACCAGCCTTCAGTGGCAGATAAGATGGCCAGTGATGGTCACTGTAAACTAACACGTGCCCACCCAACTGACTAATTGTGTAAGAGTTTCCACAGGTTAAAGTCAAACAAATGCCATGCAGATAACAGTGAAGATAAATCTGCAGTGAGGAAAAGCTCATCCTGCTGTTCTCCATTCCTGCCATTAGCTAAGATTTCTAACCAACCTTTCTATGTTTTTTTCATGTGCAGGTTTTGAACAACGTAACATTTGAAGATGAAACACAGGATGTCTGCCTCTTCATGTCAACATTTTGTTTGTGTTCCCTAATTTCCAAATGCTTTTTCCCTGGGTTTTTTGGCTCTTTTCCTTCAAACAGAAAAATGTGTCTCTATTATTTTCATCTACAAGAGTCTTAGCATACTCCCATTTCTGTAAGCAAAAAAAGTCTAACCTTAGCTGACCAACACAAACACAGGTTGGGCTGTAATCATGTTAGTATCAGTAGATACATTTCTTAATGGTGTACTGTAGCGCTCATTTAGGCACCTGTTGCCTCAGTAAGTAACCTGAAATAGTGACCACTTGCATATATTACCATGCATAGATGAAAATACTGGACAAAAATCCTCATATAGTTTGTTAGTCCAGACGTACAACTGCACATTAGATATTCGGTGGTATTTCAGTCTGAATTCAGCTAGGAAAACAAAGATTTTTTTTGGTAAACAATGTACCCAAGATAGTACAAAATAACTGCATAAAAATTGTTATCTTTACAAAAGTAATGGCAATTTAATACAAAACTAATGAATTTAAATGAAGAATTCAGAGTCAACAAACTATTGCAGATCTGAATTTCTCTTCCATGTGTAGATAATCTCAAAATCAGTCATGTTTTATAATGATGTATGTAAAGCTTCAAGTATTTCAGATACCACCGTTTTCTAGTTTGATTAATTCTTATCTAAAGCAGAGCATAAAAGCAACGTAACATTCTTCTTCTGTACTGTTGATTTATCCAGGTGCTCAGGGACATTTTGGAGCATAAATCATCACTCCAATTCAGCACTCTGAAGCAGCTTGCATGCATTTGGTTCCATACATTATTCTTCAATATCAGTCTTCTAGTCTTTGCTGCTGAAGAGCCTTCCCATTGCATTGTCTTGTTGAGACTAGTCATTTTTTGAGACTGTTATTGACCAGAGTCATAATTGTTCAAAGTTAGGGGTGTATTTATGTTTTTTTATGGAAATAAAATAAAAACAAAAAAATACTGTATATCTTTACAAGAAATTATCTGATGTGCATCAATGACAAAAAGGTGTAATTAATTTCTAATTCAGGCTGCAACACCACTGAATACAGACACGTGTGCTCAGTATCATCTGATTGCAATGCAAATTTGCACACCATGAACATTATATGAAGTTTCCATTTTACCTTGATCCATGGGTGCTTAAGAGCATCTTGAATTGTTAATCTTTTCCTACAAGAGAAAAAGAAACTTTCAGTTTTCTATCATAAACATAGAGGGTGATACTAGTGAAGGTTCAAGATTGAAACACAAAGATTAGTGGTCTTGTCCTGGCGAAAGTCTCCCAAGGAAAATGTCAGTCGTGGTGTTATCCTTGAACTTTTACCGCTTATCTTTCTCCAGCAGGTGGCTGATGAATTTCTTGGCAAGCTCGCTTGTATGACAGAAGAACTCATCATCAAACTCATAATTTATGGCTGAAATATTTTTCAGTGTGTCCTGTTTGGTCTCCCCCAGGAAAGGTGAGGCACCACTCAGCCTGGAACAAAACATTAAAGGACAAGCAGTTTATCATGCCGTTTGAGGGAAACTGCAGGATAATGTGTAATATGCTATAAGTCACATTATTATTTGGGTTGCACTTGCAGGATGTAGGTGATGACACCGATGCTCCACATGTCTGCTTCTAATCCCAGTGGCTCGTAGTTGACAATTTCTGGTGCTTAAAAGGCAAACAGACAACTGGAAAAATTAATCCTATATTTGATTGAAAATTTGGGGAGCTTCTTAGGTGTGTGTGTGCGTGTGTGTGTGTGTCACTCTACCAACAAACTCAGGTGTTCCAAAGATATTTTTGAACTCAACCCCAGCTTCAATCTTGTGAGCTAGACCGAAATCAATGAGTTTGATTCTTGGCAATGGCACGTTCTTATCTAGCAGCATTATGTTTTCAGGCTGCAAAGAGAGCAACATTTACTCAGAAAATGTTTGAGAACCACCTACCTAAAAAGAAATACAAATAACATTAACTAATACTGTATACTTCCTTCAGGATATTAATTTTTCAGAACAATATATCAACAGAAACATCATTAACAGACAATAAATGAATAATCAGTTATTTGTTCCAAAGTTAGTGTTCACCACTCACTTCACATTTCATATATTAAATCCAGCTTATTGCTCCACCTAGTGGACCAAACCTGTGTTTTGTATTTTATTGTGTTTGTCCACTTTTGCTTGTTCTGCAGTGTCTTCTAACAGCTTCCTATTACTATAATAATAATGGTAAACCATGGAAAAATATCCAATAGGACTGCAATCAGTAGTGCTTTACTAACCCTAACCAAAAGCATAATTAATGTAAACCAAATTTACAGTGTACCTTTTTGTAGCAAAGGTGTACCTGTAGAGTACCAGTAACAGTAACTACTTTACATTTCAGCCCACGATGCTTTAATTATTACTTACCCTTTAATTACAGAGAAAAATGTTGGATTCATATGTTTTAATTTCCCTCGCCTTGAAACACAAACTAAACCAACTATTCAAATGGCTTGTTATATTTAAGCAATAGTCCACAGCCCAAAGATATTCAGTTTACAAAAAAAATAAAATGGAGATAAGCTGAAAAATTTCACATCTGAGGAGCTGTGACTACTGACTGACTGACATTTTTGTTTGAAAAATGGCTGAAACTGAAACAGGAGCTGATGTATTCTTCAGCTTTACAGTTGATAATAAAAAATGAGGTAGAGGTGCAAATGGTAGCACTCTAAAGCAGCTTTAATTAAAACAAACATGAATGTTTCACTTGAGCCAAAGTTCATGTTCAAAGTAATTAAGGCCAAATTGAATATGTGGTGTTGCATAGTGCATTGTTTTGGAACCTTGTGCAATCACCTCCACTGGGTTTGTTATGGATTAATATAGTGATTCTTTTTTATCAGTTAATTTAATTTTTGAAATATCAGAAAATAGTGAACAATGCTTATAATTTTCCAGAGCCACCTCTGAGTGCATACCACATAACCACAATGTCCATGGTTTAACGCTTGATCAGTGTACTACAGATGGTGGCATGTCTTGTCTGCACAAACCTTGAGATCAAAGTGGGCTATTTTTCTGGCATGGAGGTAGTTGACGCCCTCGAGGATTTGCTTGATGAACTGAGTGGCTTCTTCCTCACTCAGAGATTCCTTCTGGGCCAGAAAGTCAAACAGTTCACCTCCAGAGACCCTGTAACACAAACACTTATCATCCAACTGCCTGCTGCCACGACATCAGTGCAGGGTCACACTGTAGCATTAAAATCAGCAGTGGTAATGTACAGTAAATGTGGTAAAGGGGAAAAGTCATATAAAAAAATATGTGGAAAACCCATGTACATACAGACAGCCCTTTTTCAGGGTAGACATTTTGACATATCGCATTTTGAAAAGTACAAGTGTAAAACTAAAATGAATGATGTCTGAATTTCATCTTCATTTTCACTTAAATGTCCTGTCTTACTGGAGCACTGGAACAGAATAGAGGCACTATTAATGTTGGCACCACCAGTGCTTTTACTACTATGACAAGTCACGATGACGATAAACTGAGCAGATTAAATAATAATTATTCTACATTACTTGAAACTTTTGTTATTGCAGAATTATGATTCTGCTTTAATTCCAAATGTCAGATGTATCTTTCAGAAGTTCTGCCTAAAAATCTAAGTTCGTGAACACGTTCCTCTACTGCTTGGGCAGTATTCTGCCAAATTAAAATATTCTACATATTAATACGTATTATTAAACTGTAGTTTTAACTTTGTTTTAATAACTTTAAACTATTTAGTAACAATTTAGCCAATATCTGCAATTTTTAAAATTTCATTACTATTATTGTTTTGTAATTCATATTCTCACAATGCCAAAATACAGGTAATATAATAAATGTGAATTGATAAACAAACTCAGACTCAGCCCCATATCCCTGTGTTGGACAAAATATTTTGTTGGGTTTGTGTTTTTGGGAAACCTAATCCTCTGCTCACTCACAGCTCCAGGATGAGCACTACATCAGTGCGGTTCTCATAAACATCGTGCAGCGTGACAATGTTGGGGTGTTGAATCTGCTGCAGGATGTTCACCTCCCGCTCTATTTCTTCCCGTCGCACTCCTCGGGAACTAGCCATGCTCTGTCGCTTCTTGATGAACTTGGCAGCAAATTCCAGACCTGTGCATTTCTCTCTGCATTGCTTTACAATGGCAAACTGCCCACTGAAACAGAGACATGCGAAAACTGTAAGTCTGAAAAAGTAAAGCCATTTGGACTAAAGTACTTTTCTATTAACTACTGAAAAACATATAGGTTAGGTTCAGATGAATTGTTCATTTTAGAAAAGGACCAAATACAACCAATATATCAACTGATATTGGCTTATTGCAGATATTGACAGAAGACTGTGTGCCCGACAGTAACGTGTCCTACAGTGCTGCAGTGGGCTTGTGATCAAAGTTGCCCCACCACATGCTATTTATAGTGTCACACAAATTCAGCAGCAAATATGATAAGCTTGACACTCACACACTCACACAATACAAGAAAACACTTCATATAAATTGCTGGTTTTAATATGTTAAGTATTTCAAATTGAAAAGTTACAGCTATTTTTCTAGGTCACTTGAATGGTTTGTAAGCCAACACTACTTCCTCATCTGTAAACAGCTTGAGACCAGATATAGCCACTGCTAAAGATAGAAGACTCCATTAAAACCCAGCTTGACACACGTAACAGTTGTTTCCACTCCACAATGCAGAGCAACTAAACTAGACCTAGAACACATGTTAGTTTCTTTTTCTTCTTTTAGAAATGTGTTTGAATAATGTGAGGTTTACCAAAATCATTTTTGAAAACTGAAATTGTGCACGTTCCAGTAGCCGTCAGTCAGAGAGGAAGCTTTAGCACACAGTTTGACTCCTGTTAAAGCAGTGAAGGAGAATATAAAGAGTCATTTCACTGGTGCAGTCATTATTAGCAGCATGCAGTTAATGATTCAGTGCAATTTCCATATTGTTATAGCAATTAATACTTGGTAAGAGATGCAACCTCCTTTTTCCAGTCTTTTAGTCTAAGTGATACTTATTATGAAATTTAGGGTTATACTACAAAAATACATTTTCTATTAAACATTTCTCCCCTTTTCCCTTCTGCCCGTTTCAGTGTCCTCGTGTTGTTTTAATGATTCTATCAATCTATCTAATGCCAAGTTTTCTCAATTCACCAGTAGCCTACATGATCAGATTTAAGCCATTTATGTCTTGATATTTATTAAAGTGTCCCTATTCACACTACCCTATCAGTTATTTGTATTCTGATTTACCTTAAACATCCTACGATTATTCATTAAGTAAAATTTTAAACCTATGCAAATACTGGCATTTATTTCACTGTGGACAGTACTGCATACCTCCCCAACTCTTCGCCGATTTCATAGAAATCCTCCACATTCTGTTGCTTGAACAAGTCCATGGCTGCAGTCCTCACTGTTGTTTGTACTTAGGATAATACCTCGATTTTCATGTCCAGCGACCTGTAGCAGACCAATGTTATTTCATCAATCGCCTTTTAGCAGCCTAACATAAGTTAACTACACATTACAAGCGCTAATAATGAAGGTGTCTTAACTGTTAAGTTATCGGGCTTTAAATGGCATTGCTATTGCTTTGATAGGACGAGTTTGGCTTATTGTTAAGCACTTAATAAGACTAAATGTCATAATACAGAATTAAAATTTGTGAACAGTCTTATTGTGCTAAAAAAGACACAGTTAAAATTCGTGAACAGTCTTACCGTGACGCCGTGTCCTCCACTTGCTGCTATCCCCTCCGTGTTGTGCCATGTCCCAACACGCTCTCTAGGGCCAGCAGGAGGCCAATCACAACGTCTTTCAGAAAACCTTCACTTTGTTCCGGGCCTGTTAGAAACTGGGGTTTGGCCTTTTGGCCTATTTAAAGCAGCTCGCGCCTGCAACTGTGACACCTGTTGTCTCGCGCGCTCTAGTTGACCATCAAGAGCGGAAGTCCGGTTTGTAATCATTTCGATATTTTTTTATTATGCCGATTCATTAAATTCATTTCGATAAATTCATAGACAATTTCAATTCCTGAAGAAGTCACGCTTCTTCGTTACACTGTGGTATATTTACTTAGGAGCTTTAGCCTTAGTTGACTGACAGAAAATGAATTGGCAACTAAATAACCCTTTAAGTCATTTTCACGGAAACGGCAAAGCTTTCTTGGTTCCATCTTCTTAGATGTCCTACTGAGGTTCAGACTGTTGGCCGGCCAAACCATAAACTACAGTCTGTACAGTCACTAATAATAATGATGCAATGTATAATAGTCACATGGACATTTTCCCACAGTTTACTTTAACTTCTAATACTTTAAGTACATTTTGTTGATACTTATAAATCTACTTACTACTATCTATATATACTTTTATTTAAGTAAATTTTCAATACATACTTGTAATGGAGTTTTTTTTTCCTGAGTGTATTTTTACTGATGTAAAAGATATGCAAACACCATTAGATTTAGTGAACACATTCATGCTACCAACAAAATAAATCCCTTCAATTTTGAAAAGAAAAAAATCTATTAATGCCACCTTTGACTAAATGACTGTTGACTGGTTTTTAAATAAGGATATTAGACAGTTTGTCAGTTGCCATCAAATTTAAGGATAAGGAAGATAATCACCTTTATTGGCCAAGTATGTTACATACAAGGAATTTGTTTCCGGTACAGAACCGATGGCAGCCATTTGCGGCGCCACCTCAACCGATGGCTCTAACCATCGGGGGCAACTTGGGGGGGTTCAGTGTCTTGCCCAAGGACACTTCGACACGTGGACTACTGGCACCGAGATTCAAACCTTCAACCTTCTGGTTGGAGACGACTGCTCTGCCCACCACACCACTGTCACCTGCCTCACACCACTGTCACCTCCCCCCATAGCACATACATGTATGAAACCCAGAGTGTGAATCCTGTAATGATTGTGATTCTCTGACTTTTCAACTACCATGGAACTGAGAGTTCTGGTGTTACGTGAAATATGATGAAACTATTGGACAGATTGCCATGAATTATGGCACCTACAGTTGCGAAAGCCGTGTATTAAAGTTTTAAGTGTTGGCATTGTGGGGATAGACTGATGTGGGAGGTGAGTTCATATAATGTCACTGTGTAAATGGATTGTTATCCCCAGCAAGTGAAGCAAAAGTACACACTAACACAGACATACACATCTATTTTCATATAAGAAGAAATATTAACATACTCTATAATCAAACCAAGTTAAAACTAAACTAAACAAAATGCACAATCTACTATGTGAACATGCTGCTAATGTTCAATCTGGGACAAGGACCACAGATAAAATTAAACTGGCAGCCCAGTGAGAGGTAGCAGAGTCACTGGTAGATAAACTGACACAATACCACTATTCAAATAAAGGAGGCATCCAACAGAAATAGTCAAATGAAGCACCTTGACTTCCTTTTCACAGTTAAATGCCATCAGAGAATATGTATGGTGTGCTACCACTGCTCAGGCAGCTTTTGACAAACACATGGAGATGGAGAAGACGTTAGGTGCAGAGCTGCAGATGGAGACACCAGAAGGAGGCCTGAAGGAGCTGGTACTGAGGTGGTTCAACGAGACGCAGGCTCCGCTCATCCTGAACAATGGAAACTTCCCTGACTGGTTTCAAGGCTTTACTGCGAGAAAGTAAGCAGTGCTGATAAGAGTCCTTGATCTTTGGTATCAGAGTGAGGAGATTTTTGTTGTTGAAGTCAAAAACCTTTAAGTTGTTTAGTACATCAAAGTTGCATTTGTTTTGGCCACTTAAATTTTAGAGGGCTGTGGCAGTTCATTTGCCTTTATTTGACTAAATTATGGCAGCGTCAAGATTAAGTTTATTATGTATTAGTTGCAGAGCTGGAGCTACTGAGGACACTGAAGTAATAATGGTCAGGTACTTGTAATTATATGCATACCAACATCTATTCCACTACACTTCAGATGAAATGTCATATTTTTTATTCCACTACTGTACATTATTCAATAGCTTTAGTTATTTGTGACTTTTTACTATGATTATTATACAAAATATGATGTACTGTATTGTTATATCTTTGACTACCCAGCTGTGAATGAAGTAGTTATTAGCTCCACGTTGACCATGTAAAGTTTACACATTGATTCATCAATAATAATCCAGTACCACAACATAGAAGAGTATAGAGCACAGACATGTGTACATTTAAAACTAACATACTTTACTCAATTAAAGGTTTTGGTATAAGACTTATATATTGCTACTTTTAATGAAGTAATGAATCTGAATACTTCCTCCACCACTGATTTTATGTACTCCTTGATTTTTAAGATATTTCAGAGGGTTTAGTAATCTGGGGTGGAGTTGAGGATCTGACAGATAAAATCTACAGTGTCATCTAAAATTTAGGCCTAGTACTCAGATAATCTGATGTGGATTATTATATATAAGGATTACCTAGAGGCCAAAAAAAAACATTTATTCAGAATTCAGTATTTCTCCAGGTCGTTCCTAGCAATGTGAAGAGTTAGACCTTTACATTTTAAGTTAAATATATAAAATATAGTTGAACAGTTAAATGATAAACACAATTATTCATACCTTTTCTTTGCCCAGCTAGGGCAATGCTAAGGATAAAGCCCTGTGCATAAAATGCCTGAATATTTAAAACTATTTCAAAACTTTGTTTTGGGTGGAGGGTATATTGGGAGGAATTTTGAAAAATCCTTTTAGTTAAATACTTCATTTACTTGACATAAGAAAAGTGAATGGAAAATTCTGTGGAACAGCAGCCATTGTTGCCACAAGTGACACTGTCAGAACAACAAATTGTGTGTTTACATCTGATATATGTGAAACCAGTTAAATGTTTAAAATCAATGTATTTGACAGGGTTGATGACTGGACATAACAGGTGTGGATGTAGAATCAGTAGAACTTTGTTTTCAGAATCAGAATCAGAATCTGCTTTATTGGCCAGGTGTGTTGGACACACGAGGAATTTGACTCTGGTACATCGGCTCTCAATGTGCAAACAGTAAACCAGCATAAGGCTGTGAAATATAACAAAATAAGCAGTATTAACAAGCAACAAACAATGCAAACAATGCAGAATAAGCAGTATGAACAGACAGTAACAATGCAGACAACAAAGGAATGTTCTTTGAAATGAGATAAATAGGGATAAAAATAGAGTACTTAAAACTAGAGATGCCCTGCGATGGATTGACCCTGTTCAGAGACTAAGCGGTAGAAAATGAATGAATGAATGAATGAAAACTAGAGACCTGTACTAGTCTGTATAATCTGTACAACGTATATACACAGGTATTGCACTGAGGGTTATTGTCCAGTCATACTGTCGATGGTTAAGTGTTCATCAGAGTGACAGCCTGGGGGAAGAAACTGTCCCTGTGCCTGGTTGTCTTGGTGCACAGTGACCTGTAACGCCGTCCAGAGGGGAGGAGTTCAAACAGATTGTGTCCAGGGTGTGAAGGGGCAGCAGTGACTCTCTCCACCCTCCAGTTGACCCGTGAGGTGTACAGATCCTCCATGGAGGGCAGGCTCACACCAATGACCTTTTCTCCAGTCCTGACTGTCCACTGAAGTCTGTACTTGTCCTGTTTGTTTGCTGAGCCAAACCAGACAGTGATGGAGGTGCAGAGAACAGACTCGATGATTCCTCTGTAGAACTCTATCAGCAGCTTTGCATGATATGCATCAGAGTAAGAGAGATACAAGTTGTCCACCGGTTTCATAATGTGCTAGCGTGCTTTTTTAGGTCTAATTTGCCTGTAAGTCTGTTCTGCCTTGCTGTCTGTTCCAGGGATGCGGAAGATCTATTGCAAGATAAAGCCCTGGGCTGTTTTCTCATTCGCCTCAGTGATAAAGCCATTGGCTACATCCTGTCCTACAAGTGAGGCAACTCAAGTCTGTTGAGCATTATTAATTATTTCATTACTGCCTTTCTAATTTATCTCACCGCCTGTACATTCCCTCCAAAGGGGCCATGACAGGTGCCGCCATTTTGTGATCACCCAGAATCAGGATGGACAATTCATCATATCAGGAGACTGTCAGTCCTACCACAGTCTCACAGAACTGATAGAACACTACAAGGTCAACCCCATCAAGCCCTTTGGAGAATTCCTGGCTGCCAGCTGTAATGAGGTGAGGATGAGCCACGGAATGTTTAATTATCCATATTTTACTAAGCAGTGATCCGTTGTTTGAAATGGCTCTGTGGTCCAGACCTGATCATATACAGTAACAGTGTCGCTGAGGCATTCTGCTACTTTGGTCCACACTGTCAAAAATATTACAATCACTATTCAGTAGTTTGCCATGAAATGTGCTACAGACATCTGTGGTTCCCAGAGGATAAATCCTGACAGGTTTGCTGATCCTCTGACTTTTCATCTAGTGCCATCATTAGGTCAAAATTTGACTTTGTCCAGTACCACGTTTTATGACCAAATCCCTGCAAAACTAATAAAATTCCTGATGATCTCAGCAATACTATTAGAATCAGCAGCACCTGATACAGTACAAACAAAAATGGCTGCACATCTCTGACATTAAATCAGGATAGACTGTTTTGCCAGTTTGTACACTATAACTTCTAATCTGAAAAGCTGGTGGTTTAATTTGACTGGCGCCTGTATCATTTACATAATTGTTTGATGAAACCAAATGAGCTCACAGAAAGGCAATAATAACACAGCTTGTTGTTTTCAGGCAAACACAGATGAACTATATGATGTAGTGAATTACAACAGCAAGGGGACGTCCGGGGTGAGTGTCCAAGCTCTGCGGACTCTGTGGGACCAGAAAAACGATGACTGCAGTGACCCTGCCCATTATCAAAACATTCAGCAGCAGAGTCACACTCCTACAGCCCAGCCACCTGCACTGCCGCCTAAAAACCAAACCAAAAACAGAAAGCTGATAGGAACAGTGTCTGTAGACACAAGGTCTCTCTCACAGGTGTGACAAAACTTACTGGCTGATTATGCACTCGTGTCTGTTTGCACACAATGGATAGGCTTGCATTTTTTCATGTTTATCTTAATACAGCAGTTACATGCACATGTGTACATTGAATGAATTTTTATTTGCTATAATCCTTCCTCCTGATATACTAGTTATCAAGAGCTCTCTTCTTGTTCTGTCACAAATTAATTTTAAAGTTTAACTGAAGATAATATGAAGCTTCATTAGTTTGCATTAGTGAATACTTTAAGTATTTTTTTTTTAATGTTCCAATTTATAAATGATCTTCTCCTCTTTGGAATGTCAACTAACTAAAAATTATTTTGGTCACTGTTGTCATGTGGGTATGTGAGTGTTTGTCTGACTTGTTTGTCAAACTGTTAATACAAACTTTTAAGTTTTATTTTCACTGACAGCATTAGACACTGTGATCAGCTTTTACTACAACAAATTAATCTGATTTGATTTGACTTGGAAACAACTCCTGTTTTAAGTCGTGCACAAGAGTTAAACAGTCAAATAAAATAGCCATTTTATGATTAACTGGAAGTGAAACTAGGGAGCAAGGAAAAACACAATTTGAGCATCTTCAGTAAAGACAGCCTGTATCACTTTCATGTAGAAAGTTTATATTGTAGGAAAATTTTGGTTCATTAAAAGAGCTTCATAGCCTACCTATACATACACCAGAATGTAGTAGATGAGTATACACTAAAACTGTCAAACCACATCATGAAGTATCTCTCTGCAGTTCATTTTACTGTTAGATCAGTGGAATGGTTTGCCAATATACTGGAACAATATTTGCTCTAATGAATTATTGGATATTAGATTATCATGTCGTTCATCATGTCATATCAGTTCAATACAGCTACTAATGGACCTTGTGGTGAGACTGTTTTGTGATCTCTATCCTCATTGCTTGGTTATCATATTTTTCAGGGTGTACCTTCAGTACCAAAAGCTCCTCTGGGCTTCTCTCTGAGTGGATCTTTGTCTGGCACAACATCACATCCAAGTAAAAGCCACCCAGACTCAAACAGATCAGAGCGACTCAGAGGAAACACAAGCCCAGAACTAACGTCTCACAGAGACTCATTAAAGACCGCTGACACAAGCTATCCAGGGGACCTTTGTCCATCAGGCATCACATATTCTGAAATGACACAGGTGGAGAACAGGAGCAAATCTCTACCACAGCTGGACAACAGCAATATGGTGGAGGAGGAGTACTCCAACCAGCTAAGCCCCTCCTTGACAACATCAGCATTTTATTCACCCAGTCCACTGAAGAGAGTCACCTGCTACACATACTCCCTCCATGATCCCAGGGCTCAGATGCTGAGCAGGTCCACGTCAGGGCATCAGAGTGATGAGCTGTTAAGGTCCAACCCCCTGTACCAGACCTCTGAGGGGACTGGAAGGGCCTCAGCTCAGCAGATAGATGACATGTATGCTGAGGTCCGTGAGATGTCAGCACCTGCTGGTCTACCCGATATCACCTATGAGCACATCCCTGGGGAGGCCGCTGTCCAGGGCAACACTGATGAGTCGGTTGACAATGTAAAGACTAAAACATCCAAATTCACCTGGGGGAAAAATGTAAGTCAGAAACAATGACCAGAGTTGTTGGTGTTCAGAGTCGAAGTATTCAAGGTAATGACTTTTTTATTTTCTGTTTGCAGAATATGAAATGGAAGAAGTTCCTTCCTGATAACAAGAAGAAATAAGTGTAACAAAAAGGACTCAGCAAGTGGGTATTCTGAGTTTAAATGCAGAATGTTTAATGTTTAATTAATTAAGACTGAAATAAAAATAAATTAATAAATTAGTTAAACTTTTATAATAACATTTCATATAGTATGAAAGTCATGTACCATTTCAACACTGTGAAAATCCCACTCTACATGAATCCAGTGGTAGTTATTAATATGCATATTTTGGTCATTTCCTTTAAATGTGAAAATGTTTTGTATTTTATAGTTTTTGCTAATTGTTTTTACATTTTCTTTTTACATTTTTGCATACACACACACCATCTATCTATCTTAATTACTGCTGTTGTTAGTAGTGGTAGTATTTTAATCTTTGTAGCAGTGTTGCATCAAAGATGGTATAGTAGTAGTTGTTTTATCACTGAACCTCTTTAAACATAATACATAATACAAATCGGCAGGTACGCAGATAGTTTGTTGTCTACTAATCACTAGGTTTGGGGTTTTGTAGAGTCACTGGGCAAAACACAGAACCCCAGCTCGTTCCTGATGGTTAGAACCACACTTACATGATAGCCAGCATGTTTTCGGGGTTTTGACCCTGGTTTTCTGTCTTCATCTGTGTGGCTTCAGAAACGTGGAGAAGACCTTATGAAGTTTTGAGAAACCTGGATATGCTATACAGCACCTTACTGCAGTTTCTGAATACTCTTTTGGTACAGATCAGGGACTGAGATGGTGAGAAATCAAGACACAACTACAGACATGATCAGCTTCTAACATCTGCAGCTGTTATGTTCATGTCAAATGCACAACTGACTCTTTAAACTGAGAAATGTGAAAGGAAAATAAATCTGCCTGTCTAATGAGTTTCCATGTAACTAAACGGTGGAGTCAACTTAATTTTTTTAGTTTATTCAACTTGTTTTTTCAAGTTCAGTTAACTTAACTAAGCTATTTAACATTTTCAAAAATCACAAAACAACACTGAACTGATCGTTTAACCTAAGTTAACTTTACTTGTGTTTTCAAGGCAGCAGAGGAACTTGTGTTTCTAAGTTGAATCAACTTGAAATGTTTTGCAGTGTATAACTTACAGGGGTGTCATCACAAAAAGTCCAATGAAATATAAAACACGGAAGTGCATCAGTACTAGTTAAGTATGTGTACTGTACAATAACAGCTAGACCTACATCTAGTTGATTTGTCTCTCTTAGTGAAAGTAGACCTCCTTCTAGGTGGTAGGAGTAAAAAAATCTGTAAAGTTTATCAATATGTCAGTCTATTTTTGTTAACCATGCTGAGGTTGCCAAACCAACAGATTATTGCCAAAGTTAAAATTGACTCAATAAAAGATTAATAAAATATTTTCAAGACTGATCTGTCTACATTAAAACCCCACCATTTTGCATATGGCATCAGCGTTGGTATCAAAGGTCAGTCTGTCATCCAGGATAGTACCCAAGTGTCAGATGGTTTCCTGCGAAAACCTCCAAGAGCTGATTATGGTTTAAACCTCTCTGGTTATTACTCATTGCTGGAGTATGAATTATGGTGTGTCTTTATGATTGTTCTGGGTCTCTGTTGTCATTTTCCAGCTCTTTGCAGTTGTTTTGTCCACTGGAAATGGTAACAGCCACGTCATACAAAGACTCTGGCCCATGTGCCCCCCATGCCTCTGGGCCCTGGGCCGAGGCACGGTAGGCCTGTAATCCTCCAGTGCCAGTATTGTAACGGGGAAGCAGCAAACAGAAACGGAGTGCTGGGTAGTTCCTTTTTTGACCGTTAGGTGTCACCGTTCTTTTTGTATGCTGTCAATAGGCTGCCAGAAAACAAGAAGAAGCAATTACGGAAGTGCGGCTTCCAAAGATATTCCCCGTAGGAAGAATATAATAGAATAGGGCGCCTACATTGCATTTAAACAAATTAAATCTTGAGCCAGCCATTTCTTAAGAAGACAATGGGCACTAGAGATGACGAGTATGATTATTTGTTCAAAGGTAAAGTAAAGCTTTTTCATTATTGTTAGAGCTCTCCTGTACTGTTAGTTGCCAGGCTAAACAGGCCAGCTGATTAACTGTCAGGCTAACGCAGCCACTGGCAACCTTTGTGCTCTGATCGCTTTTCACCGAGCTTTCTGGGAAATGTCAGCAAGATTAATTAAACCACGCGACACTAAGCGACTCTTGTCTAAAACATAGAGGTACGGAGGTATGCTTGTTGACTCGTCGAGTTACATGAGTTATCGTTAACCGGATGGGCGTCTTGAATGTTAGACATTAGCTATTAGCGGATGTTAGCTGCTATCAGTGGGCATAGACCAGGCTCGCGTCGGACACACCTATTGTTAACCGTTATCACGCTATCATCATGAGATCTGCCACACAAGCAAACAGGACTATTAACACACCTAAAAGATTGCGTTACAAGGAAACGTTTCATTAGTGTTTTGTAGCGAATCGTGGTAATGGCTAGCCGGGTTAAGCTAGTTTTTATAAATAAAAAAATAATAATAAAAAGCTCGGTTGGGTGAACGGCGAGGCGAATAAAAATGCCCTGCCAAAGTAAACAAACGTCGGTCGGAATTTCAGTACAGGTTGCTGCCAAATAAAACACTAATGTTGGCGAATTAGAAGATAATTATGAAAATGGCTATTTAACTTAGCAAGTAGAAATAACGTTAGGACTTTTAAAGCCATTATTTTGAATAGTTCCAGTAATGTTTATAGTACAGGTTTTCTATTTTGAACATGATGTACTGATAAATACTTAACAGTGCTGTGTAATGTGTCTAACAATACTTGTAATTTTACACAGAATGAGGACTTTACTTTGTTCCCCATCATTTAACTTAAACCTTTAGGAAGAGGTATCGGTGCAACAGGAGGAGCGAGAAAACTTGTTTTTGTTCATATGGTCAAAGTTATAAATTTGCCCTTTGAAATGCCCATAGGTTGCAATAAGAACACCTCTCCGTCTAGGCTGATTTGTTTGGATTGAATTTGCTTATTTTACACATATCATCAACCTAACAAACTTCTCCAAATATTCAGACACCAGTCCGTCCAGTGCAAAGATTAAGGAAGTATAGGGTAAATAAGTGATTACTATATATCCAAAAATATATAGGTTCAAAAGTCTTTATTTGTCACATACAGGAGCTACAAGGCAATAGAGATGTCAAGAATATCTACATAAAACTGATTTAAAAAATAAAGTTAATCTGAACAGCTTTGAAACAGCACCAAGTATTTAAAAATCAAAAATATTATCAAAAATTAAATAGAAATTATGAAATATTATTAGAAATATAATTTGGTACTTAAAATATAGCAAAAAGCACTTATTGCACAACATCAACAGTAGTGATTTACAAATTTGATACTTTGACTGATTGTTCACCCCATTTTCTCATTCAGTTAATTGTTAATTTTGTAAAATATCAAAAATAGCAAAAAACAACTACCTCAGTTTCCCGAACCACATGGACAAACGTCGGTCGGAATTTCAGTACAGGTTGCTGCCAAATAAAACACTAATGTTGGCGAATTAGAAGATAATTATGAAAATGGCTATTTAACTTAGCAAGTAGAAATAACGTTAGGACTTTTAAAGCCATTATTTTGAATAGTTCCAGTAATGTTTATAGTACAGGTTTTCTATTTTGAACATGATGTACTGATAAATACTTAACAGTGCTGTGTAATGTGTCTAACAATACTTGTAATTTTACACAGAATGAGGACTTTACTTTGTTCCCCATCATTTAACTTAAACCTTTAGGAAGAGGTATCGGTGCAACAGGAGGAGCGAGAAAACTTGTTTTTGTTCATATGGTCAAAGTTATAAATTTGCCCTTTGAAATGCCCATAGGTTGCAATAAGAACACCTCTCCGTCTAGGCTGATTTGTTTGGATTGAATTTGCTTATTTTACACATATCATCAACCTAACAAACTTCTCCAAATATTCAGACACCAGTCCGTCCAGTGCAAAGATTAAGGAAGTATAGGGTAAATAAGTGATTACTATATATCCAAAAATATATAGGTTCAAAAGTCTTTATTTGTCACATACAGGAGCTACAAGGCAATAGTCGTGTCAAGAATATCTATCTACATAAAACTGATTTAAAAAATAAAATTAATCTGAACAGCTTTGAAACAGCACCAAGTATTTAAAAATCAAAAATATTATCAAAAATTAAACAAAAATTATAAAATATTATTAGAAATATAATTTGGTACTTAAAATATAGCAAAAAGCACTTATTGCACAACATCAACAGTAGTGATTTACAAATTTGATACTTTGACTGATTGTTCACCCCATTTTCTCATTCAGTTAATTGTTAATTTTGTAAAATATCAAAAATAGCAAAAAACAACTACCTCAGTTTCCCGAACCACATGGTGCCATGTTGGAATGTTCTTTTTGTCCAGCCAACAGTCCAAAACCCAATGGTGTTCAGTTTACTATCCCATAAAAAACAGAGTGGAGCAAATCATCACAGCTGAGAAGCTTAAACCTAAGTGTTTGGAAATTTAGCTCGAAAGTAGCACTGATGTATACAATATGACATCAGGTAAATTGAACATAATGGCATATGGTTAATGAGCAGCATAGATCTCATATCTTAGATATAATTGGCATGAAATATGCTAAAAGGTGCCGTGTTATTAACCCAGGAGGCTCATAAAATGTGCACTTTCTAACGTGATTCTTAATGGATTGTATTAAAATATGCTTCCTCCACTGTGTGTTTCAGTTGTCCTTATCGGTGACTCAGGTGTGGGAAAAAGTAACCTGCTCTCTCGTTTTACCCGCAATGAGTTCAACCTGGAGAGTAAGAGCACCATTGGAGTCGAGTTTGCTACACGCAGCATCCAGGTGGATGGCAAGACAGTAAAAGCCCAGATCTGGGATACAGCTGGCCAGGAGCGCTATCGTGCCATCACATCGGCGTGAGTACAGAGGAGCAGGTCCATAGGGCTTAGGATGTACCAGACAGTAAAACTGTCCAGTTCACACAAGTGAAATTAAACAAATACATACAATACTTCTTTGTAGGGGTGGATGATATGGCAAAAATATGGTTTCACTATTTTTCCTCAGGCAGGACCATGATCCATGACCTTATCACAGTTCTTTCACTTTCACTTCACAGTGAACTATAGTGGTACATGTATATGCAGGCTAGAAAACCAAAACAATGAGCTAAAAGCTTTGTAGGTTGGTGTAGGGCTGCAACTAAGGAATGTTTTGATCATCAATTCATCTGTATTTTACTGTTTTATTATTTTGCTGTTTCTTCTAGCGGAAGATTGTGTTGTTTGTTTTGTCTGACTAACACACAAGGAAGATTTTTAGTTTACTATCACAAAGTCTTTTCCAAATTTCTAGGCTTGTTACATCTTAAATAAGTAGTAGCAGTATCTACTTGTGGTCTCTCATTGCAGCTGTCACAAGTCTATGCTATAAATTTTCACCTTTAAATTTCTCATATGAACTCATTTGAATACATTTTCTATTGGGAACCACTGACATAAGACAATGACCGGTAGTAAATTTTCACAATTAAGAAGCATGAACCAGAGAGTACTTGGCTTTTCGTTGAAAAAATGACAAAAGTTTAATTGATTATCTAAGTGTCTGCCAATTATTTTTCTGTTGATTGACTGATTAATCAACTGACATCTCAGCTCTTCTTTGGTGTCAGTTCTTGGGGGTTTCAGTAAGTGATGTTTCCTGTCCATGTGGCTTTGCTGCAGGTACTACCGCGGGGCTGTGGGGGCTCTCCTGGTCTACGACATCGCCAAGCATCTAACTTATGAGAATGTGGAGCGCTGGCTGAAGGAGCTGAGAGACCACGCTGACAGCAACATCGTTATCATGCTGGTGGGCAACAAGAGTGATCTACGTCACCTCCGGGCTGTTCCCACTGACGAGGCCCGAGCTTTTGCTGGTAACACTTATGTTCTGTTTTAACTTTTACCCTTTATTTAACCAAGACAGCCTTGTTGAAAAAAATATATTTTGTGTCCTGGGCAAAATTGACAGCAATAACAATGAGGTGATACCATAAGAAACAACATAATTCAGATGACAAAATGTGCAACAACATGAGAATGAAATAGGAATGCACTGACAAAATGATTAATAGCACTTCTAATACAATAATGTAAAATGTTCACCCTCAAAAGAATGAAAACTATCTTAAAACAAGTCCATGGTTGTTTTATGCCTAAAAAGAATTACGACCAATCCTAAATGCATAAATGTTCAAAAGCACCACAAACACAAAAGAACAGTTTCTGTAGCAGTGATTTGAATTCACAGAGGCCTAATGCTGTGTAATTCTAATGTGAAATGATTACAGCAGTTTTTAATAACATTTTGTGATTTTCTTCATGATGATTTATAAGTTACATTCTGTATCTTTTAGTTGTCCATTTGGCAATGATTATGACGACAATGGTAGTAAGATGTTTTTTTCGTAATCATTTAACCGTGGTTGGTTCCAGTTTTCACAGCCAGATGTTTCGGTTGAACTGGTTCCACTGGTCTGCTATCTGTGGAATGTTACATATTTCATTCCGTATATGCCTAATGTGCCTTGTTGCTTAACTTTGCCCTGCAGAGAAGAATGGTTTATCTTTTCTGGAGACATCGGCTCTGGACTCCACCAATGTTGAGACAGCCTTCCAGACCATTCTGACAGGTTTGTGCTCTGTGTGTCTAGTGGCTCATCTACAAGTGTAACAGCTCCATGGAATTTTAACCCACTGGAAAACAACTTATGAAGCCAGCAGGCCACACATTTACTGAGGAGATGATATACACCTGAGTAGTTCTGGTTAACAGGTGTCTATATCAGTAGTCTGAGATGGCTTTTTTTATAAGGGTGATTACAGTGAGAGGGAAATCAGGTGTCAAGTGAACGTCACACAGCCACAATGGGTTAAATCTATTACATAATGTCGTCTTATCTTTTAAGGAGTGTCAAACCTTGTGTTATGGGTAAGATAACCAGTTACAATTACACAGTCTGTGTAAAAGACATTGTCTGTTTAATCTAACAGTATAGATATGACAGTGAAATAACTAGTCAGTAAACTTGATTCCTTCATTTGATTAAAATAATAAAGATACTGACTGATGTACTAAAAACTGATACAGAGTCAGGTTAGTGACATTTAAGGATAAAAGCTGGCATTACTCTGTATTTATAGCCAAACCAGAGCTGGATGCTAGTGTGTTTTTAATCAAACACAAGTAAGTGGTGCATTTGTTGGGGATTATTTTCAGCGGAGGATGAATCCACATATGGTGGATTAAGTCTAGTGAGTACTTGTGAGTCTATGTGGTATCAAGTATGTATATGATATGTTGGGAATTTCTCTAAATTTGGCACAAGTGCCCACTTGGACTCGAGGATGAACTGATTAGAGTTTAGTGGTCAAAGGTCAAGGACAATGTCCTCACGTCTGTCCCATTCCCGAGAATTTGACAAGTTGACGAAAGCATAGAAGCAGTAATTCTACGTCTTTTGTTTTCTTTTACAACAATGGAGTTCTATGGAAATAAGATGTATCCACATACTAGAAAGCTACATGGAACAACACATGGAACATTTTTTAATTGCAAGTGACTATGCCAGTTGATTGAGCTGGATTGCAGCACTAGATAGACCCTAAAGAATAAACAGAGTTATAAAAGATGATTTAAAAAAAAAAAAAGCGGCATGTTAGTTTCTGTTAGCACTAGTAGTACAGGAAGTATTCACATCCTTTACTTAAGTAACAGTACTACTATCACACTGCAAAAGTAGCCTGTTCTGTTACAAAAGGTTCAGTATTAATAATGTTAAGTAAAAATAAGTATTAACACAAAATGTACTGTGTATTAAAAGTAATAGGAGGCTACTCAATACATGTCATACTACACAGTATATTATTACATTAACCACCCATCACTCATGCACTGAAGTAACAGCTGGGTTTGGCTGTTGTAGTTGGTTGAGGTGGAGCTTGGCTGAACTGTTTTGTATCCAAGTGCAACTACTGATTATTTTCATTATTGATTAATCTGATGATTATTTTCTCCAATCATCGATTGACTGGTTTGTAAAACATCTGACAATAGTGAGAAATGTTGTCACAATGCTCTAAAGGTTTATCAAAATAGTCATTGACCTATTGTGGGATCTGATTGGTATCAGTCCTTCATGATATACCATGAAACTGGTATACCACTGCAACCCTAATGGCAAGTTACATATTGTGAATTGTTGCAGAATGTAAACTAGACATAGACACAGAGGCAAACTGAATAACACTGTTAATCTTCACCCTCTCCCTCTCCCAACAGAGATCTACCGTATTGTTTCCCAGAAGCAGATGTCAGAGCGTCAGGAGAGTGACATGTCCCCGAGCAACAATGTGGTCAACATCCAGGTGCAGCCCACCGAGAACAAACCAAAGATGCAGTGCTGTCAGAACATCTAGCTGTTGCTGCTCCTCCTCCCCTCTTTCCCTCCCTGCCCCTCTACCCAGCTACCCCAACTCACAAGTCCTCAGCCCCCAGCCTCAGAAAATAGACTGCCTCAGTGTGCTCTGTGGTGTGGTAGGGACGAGCCACAGCTTCAAGGCTGTGACCCAAACTCTGCACCTACCTGTACTTGCTTACCCCACCCAACCCCCCCACCTCCTCCCTGCGTCCCAGGTAACTATATTCCAGTATAAGAAGACGTCACTGCATGGGGTTCCTCCCCCAAAAAAGCAGAGCCCCTCTGTCTTTAGGCTACTGCAGGACAGCAGGCAGTAGGCATTTCATATCACTTTAGATTTCATTACTGTAGATGCGCTGACATGTCACAAAAATGTCTTTATGAATGTGATTTTTCTTCTCTTTTCTTTATACTTTGTGCTCCTGTTGATTTCTTTATTTTTTTATGATCTCTGTCTTGTATCATATATCTACTACTAGGTATATATGAATTGAAAGCACATCAAAGTTGCTCTGAAGTGTATTCTTATATACAAGCCCCCCCCTCCACTAGTGCAGTGTACTGTTTTGGAATCCATTGCGGATGTATCGAGCACAGTAGTGTCACGCCATGCCATTTGATCTGATCTGTGAATATAACGCTAGTGAAACGTGAATTTTTTGCATCTGCCAAGCTTCAGTTTGCGCTGCGGAAAGCCCAGGTGTGAGCTAGCACGTAGCGTGCAGCCTCGGAAGTGTCGTTGTCACCATGCTTACAGCAAGTGGCAGGTTCAGGCCAGCTTTGCATGTTTTAAAGGATGGCACTCTGCCTTGTTACTGATTTTACCAGGTGAAAGACTCAACCAGGACTTTTTGTAGAACACTATCTTTGTCTTGAGAGCGTGTAACTGTAGGCTGTCATCATGAAAGCTGAGCACAGCTCCCGCACATTTCAGATGTTCATGCTGTCGTACGTTAAGTCTCAGTGTGGCATCATAATGAGAGAAAGTCATGCTTATGCTGAGGATGATGATCAAAGACTTGTTAGTCCATTGGGCTTTCCGGCTCCAACATTAGAAAAATGGTATGCATTCTTTTTTTTTTTTTTACATGCAGTATACAACAAAACTTGAGTGCACCCATGTGCAAATCACTAAAATGTTAAGTGATTCTGAATTCTACTATAGTACAATAACTTATTTTTAAGATAAAGTGTAGAGTGCATCGAGAATGAATACAGACCCCAAAGTACAATGTCAGTGCAACAATAATGAGTACAGCCATGATTTCTAGTTAAGGCCAACTATAGTGTTGACCTGGGTTGTATCTAATGCAACGTGGCTTCATATGGCAAGGAGGCAGGCTGTCAAACTTCATTTGAAAAATGGTATTATATAGACAGGATTTGTAATTTGTCAGTTTTGCTGTATACTGTATTTCAGGGGTTTTCAACTAATTGTGACCCGGGGACCACCATTCTGACAAAAAACAAAAAACAAAACCTGAGGACCACTATTGTGGATAGACTGTATGGGCACTAGTTTAATCCTCAGTCACCTTGGCTTTTCCAAATGTTATATATTTACATGAATTTGATTATTCACAAACAGTAATATATGGAAATGAGTTTAAATCTAAAATAAAATTAAAAAGGATTCCTACAGTGAACCTATATTTTTGAATGCATGATCAGGGACCACCTGCAATGCCTTGGTAGACCACCAGGGGGCCACTGCCCACTGGTTGAAAACCCCTGCTGTATTTGAAAGCATCTATGCAGAAACTAGCACATGTATTTCCTTAGTGCACCTCTATAGCAAAGGAAGGAATTAAAAGTAGAGGTAAGTGAGGTAGCATTCATGTATTACATCCCTATAATACTCAGTCTTATAATCAAAAATCTCGTCGTCAAGCAAATTATATCGCTTTGCATGTAACCACATAAGTGTAGTTAGTAGGCATTGAAAAAGCAAGAAATGGAAAATGTAATTTGGATGGATTTCATGAGTGTGAAATTGACAATTTTGCACTGAACCTTAACAGCTGATTTAGTAAACACACTTCCTTGTCTAGAATTAGATTTTCACTGCACAGGGAGAATTTGGACCCGTTTTGTCAGATTGGCTGTACCATTTTATTATGGTGTCACTGTTCAAAAACCAAGATGTGATGTTTAGCACTGCAGAACGCTGACTGAGTCTCAGATCTTTCCTTAAAACCTCATAATTGACAAAAAGTTAGTTTCTTGTCTGGCACTAGCAAAGAATTCTAGGAAAAACATGCAGGACTCAGTGACAGTGTTGTAAACCTCTGGTCACAGTGCCTCCTTCACCGTGTGTACCTGTCTGATAACACTTCATTCACCTGCGAACAGCTCTGTCACATTCATCTCCTCCTTAACCAATATCCTGGCTGTGTCTGTCCCTACAGGAGGCAGCCAGCTGTGCTGTCCCTGTCACATAACGCCTACGTACACCAAGCTGCCTCTGACTTCAACACAATGCATGGCTTTCTGTACGACTGCAAATCTGTCGTATGGCCTTATGTAGCGAACGTTGTCATTACTGTCCATAAAATATGAGGGTTAGACTTGGCTAGCTAGGATGACGTGCCCAACAAGCTAATTGCTGTGTCCAGTCTGTAAACTGACAGATGCCTCACTAACAACCCACCAGCTAAAGCTCCCCAATGTGTGTGCACTGTTGAATTTACAGGTTATAGCTGTGTCAGTATGTGATGGTGTTGGTAGATGTATACAATGCCTGAAATTGGTGTGTGTGTGTGTGTGTGTGTGTGTGTGTGTGTGTGTATATATATATGCGTGTTTAGAGGCAGAGGGTAGACTGGTAGCTCTGGAGTGTGTGAGCCTGGCTGGCAGTGCCAATGGCGTTTCTTGGAACAGACGGCGCCGCCAGCCGAGCCTCTCCACACTCTCAGGCTGCCATTCTGTGGACAAAGCGATTCCTTTCTTCTGAAAATATGATTTCTGATGCTGTTTCATGAAATTCCATAGGTCTGTTTTTTAAGTTTTTGTTTTGTTTTTTTTTTGGACTACAATAAATTCTATACCTGACTGTAATTCCAGTGTAGAGTGAAACGATGTCATTTCAATGGAGGGTTACATGTGAGAGGGGGGTCAAAATGAATGGTTTTATGTTTTGTACAGATTGATAAATTGTACAATTGTGTCTATATCTTAAGTTATCAGTTCATCTTAATAAAGCGCACCAGTCATAAACCTTTAGCCTGAATGATCTTGTATTTTACTTGATATTGTAACAAAATTTCATTCATCTTTTATGAGACCCATATGTTCCAAATAATTTTCAACAAATTCTTAGGCAGATTCCTGGAAAGTGACTTTATAAAATGTCAATAGTGGGCAAATAAATGTCCAAGTTAGAAACTGCAGAGGGTCATACAGTGAGCTGACCACTGACAATATACTGTACCTCTGTGGTCTGTGCCCAACCTTTTGCTGAGGTCCTGAGCTTGGACTTGCAACGCACTAATGGAATCCTTATGATTTGTCCTTTTGGAAGATGGTTTGTATCCACATCCAGTTTTATCATTTCCTTTGCTTTGCTGTCCTCAGGGGTAGATATCAGCATTGTACTCTGTGAAAGAGAACAAAGTCAGTTGACTTTCACTTATGCTTAAGAATTTAAAAGTAAAAATATCACCACTTCAGAGATTTCATGTCTTTTGGCACATCACTTAGAATATCTACTTTGGCCTGAACAAAAGTCATTTTTCCCACCAGTTGACCAGAGACAGATTTCACTTTTAATTCACAATATCAGAATTTTAGTGGGTCACACGTTTACATACACAGAATTGACTGACTCTTTGAATGGCCTAGAAGCTTCTGAAAATTGATGGTATGACTTTAGAAGCTTCAGACTGGGTAACTGTCATTACTAGGAGTCAGTTGGGGGTGTATCTGTATTTTAGGGCATGCCTTCAGACCCAGTGTCCTTTTGCTTGTCACCTGAGGAAAAGAAAGGACTTCTCTAAGTCTGGTTTCTCCTTGGGAGAAGTTTCTTAACATCTGAGGTACCACATTCATCTGTACAGACAATCGTACACAAATATAAACACCACGGGAACACAGCCATCGCATCATTCAGAGACGAGACACATACTGACTCCTAGAGATGAATGTTTTTTGGTGCAAAAGGTTCAAAACCATCGCAGGACAACAGTCGGACAAGATGTTGGAGGTAACTGCTACCAGGCCCAGCCCTAACCAATTTGGCGCCCTAGGCAAGATTTCAGGTGGCGCCCCATTGCATCGCAGTAAATTCCACTGCTAGTGTATATACTCATAAGAAACGTAATAGCTTTGTCTTGGACATTCTTTTATTTAAATAAAGCAATTGCACATTCAAAATACTTAGAAAGAATTAAAGAAACAAATACAAAAAAATGAACTGAACATATGAAATACAATATAAATACGGCACTGTGCAAAATAAGATATTAAAGAAACGAGTAGGCACAAAAAAATACAAGGATTTAAATAAAAATAAAAAGATGATCTTACAAAGACCTCTAGTGGTGTTTTTGGTACTGCTGTAACTTAAAAACTACACCATCACCTCCTCAATCTCACATAACCTGCTACAGCTTTACTCTCCTGGTTTTTCTTGCAGCAAAGTCATCTACAACATCATCATATGACAACTGATTTGAGACCACATAGTTTATGCTTATAATGGCAAGTCCAGGGTTCATACACATTTTTACTCATAAAATTCCATGACTTTTCCATAACTTTTCCATGACTTTGAGGTACATATTCATGACCTAATGTTTCATGAAATGTCTATGTATACATGTTACATAAGAAGAAAAGTCCATGTTTTACCACAGCTACTAAAATAAATGACAAGCTTCGCAGAACCACTTATTAATGTAAGTCCATG